GAAGACACTCGAAGACTATTGTTTAAATAAACAAGTAATTTTTTAGCAAAAAACAACACCGACTTCAATTTTCTTCTACAACTTTAAGAGTAACGATAATTTCTTCATGATACAAATAATCGGATATAAAACAAATTAGGATGGGACCACTTCTGAGGTACCACCTTTCCTTTAAAAAAGAATTATCGAAATCGGTTATGCGGTAACATATGTACATAAAAAAAAAATGCGTGTGTAACACCGTACACATGATAGAAGTGAAACTTCTTAAAAAGTGTTAGTACCAGGTACCTACTCACGAAATTGGATGTTTAAACATATATCTACGGTTCGGCAAACCATTAGGCGATTGAGTTACATACATTGGTTTGGTTAGAAACCAAACAATAATTTCATTTCATCTTATTAATTTTCTGATATACATATAATTTATTTATTCATTTTCCGGTAACGCCACCTTATATGAATTCGCGCTTCTAGCATCCATAGGACCGGGTTGTAATGGAAGTAATTGTATGTTTAACAAATGAATGAAAATGTTTATAATGCAATCAATAGATCCTTACGAATTCGCCATTACCAAGGCACTAAGTAACGTACGCACTTTTGTTTGCAAAATGCATTTATTTAAGTTGAAAGAAGACAAATTCCTTTGTTCGGCATTTATTCTTACTCGCTTTCTATATTCCAAGGCGAATTCATATTATCTTATCAAGAATTCATATATTCATGTGGTAGCAAAAGTATAAAAACATAAAATTACCTTATAAATTAAAATCATAAGTATCACATGTATGCGTAGTCCAATTCACGAAAACATTCCATCGATCTGAGTAAAAACTAAGAGCATAAACTCTATTTCGCGTTAATTGTAATCATGAAATGGTGTTCATTCATTCAGTTTCTACTCAAACGCATGAAATGATTTCATGATTGGCCTACGCATAATGGTAGTAAATGACAGAATGAATTACAACAAACACATCCTTTTGACATAATGCAAGCCGAAAACGTTGGTTCAAATCAATCCGCAATCAAGTTGGACGTTTTGCCCACAAACATTGCAATTTTGCGAGCAGTCTTCATTGTAAAATCTCATTTTTACAATTTCATAGTTTCGGCTTACATTTATAAAATTCAACGAAAGCACGTACCTATTTCGGCTGAGTTATCCATTTTCGTATATTTAGAGTACAAAATAAACGCAAATTAAATGAGTTTGTACAACATGGCCATTAATGTAGCGATAAGTTGTACAACTTGCCAGAAATTCCAAATTGTTTGATCTTTCATACAACCAAGACATAAATTCATTCAACAGGCCCACAAACGGCGCAATCTAGAGCAAAATATCATCAAGTTGAACCAACGGTCGCTACGTTTATGGCTTTCTTTAAGAAACATCGGGCGAACATTTCAACTGCTCCTGTAATACGGTAGACAAACGGGCTCGATTATTTGCATAACCAGCCTTTATTTGCTTTAACGCATGCATTTTCTTTTTTAAAATGAGCATAAGCAGCCGAGCAAATGCACGAAATTTTTGGGAATTAACTCAGGTCCGGGGAATTTTCGATGACAACGCTGGTAAAAACGGCCAGTTGTTGTCTTTTGTACAAATAAGCAAACGATGCAGGCGAGTTTCGCGTACGCAGTAGCCGAATGGTGAGAGTTGCGGGCTACAAGCCTGTAGCTTCCAGGTTCGATCTTCGTTTGGAGCGATTGCGAAAAAATTTTTATTTTTATTATTTATTTTATATTTTTTTATTTTATTTTATTTATATATTTAATTTTACTTTATTTTGTTTTCATTTACTTTATTTTATATGACATTTCTTATTTTACTATTAGTTAATTTTAATTTTTAGAGTTGAATTTTATTAAAAAGTCAACAACCACATAACTGAAGGCAACGTAAAAAAAATATAGAACTTATAAATAAAAAAAGTGTACTGGCCGTAGGACTCGAACCCACGACCTTGCGGCTGGTTTATCCGCATTACTGCCGTCTGTAAGGGTAAAATTTTAATTTGCATTTGTGCTTAATAATTCTAATTAATTTTCTCCTTCTGTCTACCATATAACACCACCCTGCTATAAGTTGGCCTTGCTATCATCATCATAATTCTAATTAATTTTCTCCTTCTGTCTACCATATAACACTACCTTATATAAGTTGGCCTTGCTATCATCCTCACATGTGTTCATACCATGAGTATACCAACGAAGGACGAGTTAATACAAGGAGATAGGGAGAGCACAAAACTACTCTAGAAAATTACACGCACAATTACAAACATGAACAAATGTACAACAAACACATAATTTTTGACAATCAGTACAGTTCGCATTTATATCAACGTGCAGCTTATTAGATTTGTTTTCGTTTGTACTACATATGTGCATATATACATGTACACAAACATATCGTCGTTTAAAGTACAAAACCGCGTATCAACAAAATGCAAAACCGCGTATCAAGATAGTGCAAAACCGCGTATGTGCTTTTGCATAAATTATTTTCTAGAGAGTAAAAACCCTCATACAGTATATTTTGCTTAGCTGCACTTCCTTCTTTGCACGAAAAACTTGTGCACTTAACCGAAAAAGGCACTTAAGCGAATTTTCTTTACTACTTCAATGAGGAAGGTATCCAAGTCCCTATGAAAGCAAATAATGGAGAAGCACTTACCACGTAGAAACTACTGCAAGCGAAATTTTTACCGAATAGTATCTAATTATATATATAACTACATAAATTTATAGCCATTTTCGTTGTTCTGCGAGATGAACAAAATAAATAAAAAGTTGTAAAATTAGGTAATTGTAGGGCCAGTGCAGGTAAACGTAATACTTTCTTTGATAATTGATACTAGTCGCACAATCTTTAAGGCAGGTATCGCCAATGTGCAGGTATGTTGAATGCATCTATCGGAGCAGTTTCCTTATAAATGTTAAAAATAATGTCTCAGATGCGCATTTTGGGGTAGGTGTCTTATATGTGCACTTAAGCATAAAGGCAGCAAAGCAAAATATACTGTATTTCAAAATGGTGCTCTTTTTTATAAAGCAATCGCATTTCTGGCTAGTATATTTCAGCACGAATGGATAAGGAGTGAGCCAAGAGTTTGTGTGAGCAAATCCAATTTTTGGCAGCCAATGTCAGTTACGCGGTTTTGCAGAATGACGATACGCGGTTTTGTACTTTAAACGACGATATGTTCATACACAAACATATGTACATACATGAAAACATTGCTGTCCATAAGTACATACATATGCCAATCAGCACATCAACGAAGCCCGTTTGCTTCATCATAAATATATCCACACAAACATATGTACATATATACGAATGAATGTAGTTATGCGAAGCACGCTTGCATATACATATATTGCTTGGTAGCGGCAGAGCTGAAATGAGTATATATGTATATATACATACGTGCATTCAAACATACATATATACATATGTAGGTACTCGTATCCGTCATGCGTCGCTTTATTTCTTTTTTCCCCTTCCCTATACTACCTATATCTTCCTTCTCACTCATGTAACGTTTTCAGTTTTAAAAATTTCACTCTCCATTTTTGCGATACCGCCGCCTAAGAAGTTTCACTTCAAAAATATTCCGACGAATAGATAACCTCCTCCGTTTTTGAAGTCGGTTAAAAATAATGAAAAAATTACGATTTTGGTGTAAAGAAGAAGTCGCATTTTAAAATTTGCATGCAATTAAGGTATTTAACTAACAATTTATATTTTAACTCTTCAGTAAGTTCATAATAAACGTTATGCAATATAAATTCCTTTGTAGGGCTCGGTACAACTCAATTGTTACAATAACAATTAATTTTTAAGCAAAAAACACAACCGACTTCAATTCTCTTATATAACTCTAGAAGTATCGTTAATTTCTTCATAATCCAATGATCGGATCTAAACAAAATTAGTATGGGACCACTTGGAAATCGGTTGACGTGGTCCAAAGTTATGCCGTATCATACATAAAAAAATAAACTGTTAGCAATCGGCATAAGGCAACCCTGCATTATCATTGGTGTGTTTCACCTGACATTCTGCTGTTGCTGGTTGGTCGTGCTCTTCTCTTTCTTTTCCGTTCGCAATCTCTCTTATGGCTATACGTTGGTAACCGAGCTCCACGCGTTTTTTTTGATGTAATCTATATCGTATCTACTTTGATTAATAAATAGTTAGTTTAAATCTACAAACTCTGTTTTCATCCGAACATCAGCCGCTATAACATTTATCTGGCGACGAGGAGTCCAGCATATATAACCCGGGCGTAACCTTATCTCTCTACGACATGGATGCCGAAGCGCTGAAGCAGGTGCTTAATCAATTGCAGGCCTCGAATCAGGCATTTATAGCGAGCATGATAAAGGAAAATAGAGATCTTCTCGAAAAGACTATTCGCGAAAATAAAGTGGCTGGGGAGCGGCAAACGGCCATACCCAATTTTCGTTCATTCAATAAATCCAATGATAGATGGAGTACATACACACTCCAGTTAGAGCAACATTTCCTGGCTAATGGGGTGACGGAAGAGCCAACGAGACGCGCATGTATACTCAGTTGGGTTGGAGCAGACAATTTAGAGTTGTTACAAAAGCTTTTTGATGGTAAAGTAAAAGAAAAAACTTTTAAGGAGATAACCACGGCTTTAAATGACCATTTCATTGAGAAGCAACACGTGCTAGCGGCACGCTTCAAGTTTTATCGTACCACAATGAAAATGGACCAGACATACTCGGATTGGGTAGCCGAGTTGCGGGTCGCCTCGAAAGACTGTATGTTCACATGCTGCAAAACGGGATGCGCTGAATCGTATGTTGACAGTAAAATACGGGACATGATTGTAATGCACACACCGCATGAAAAGGTAAGGACTGCCGCGTTACAGAAAACAAATCCAACGTTGGAAGAGGTACTACAGGTAGCGTCAATTTATGAGTCAACGGTTCGAACTTGTTAAATCATGCCCCCTGGGTGCGGTACGTCACACTCGCGAAATGACTGCATTTATTTCAAAAGGAAGACTAAATGCAACAGCTGTTCAAGGCCCGGACATATTTCGTCAGTATGCAAATCTACGGAAAAGCGTAAGACATCGAAGTCCAAGCTAGTTAATGTAGTTAATGATATTAGCCAACCAACTTTCGAAAATATCAGCGTGGTAAATGTCCTTAATACTACGAGCGGCACTGATAAGAAAATTGAAGTTAAACTCCATGTAAATGGTAAAAGTCTCAGTTTCCAAGTAGATACGGGGGCATCATGCTCTTTGGTCGGAATCGACGGTTATAAGATGCTTGGAAAGCCAAAATGCGTGCGTACTAGTAAAGTACTAAAGACATACGGCGGACATCAATTACCACTAAAAGGTATAACCATGGTGAACGTTCACTGTAATAATATACATGAAACCCTACCGCTTGTGGTAGTGGATAACAAGGAGGCCTCCAATATTCTAGGCCTAGATTGGTTCCGTAAATTAAGGTTTCATATGGATATCCCAAGTAATCTAGAAGCAAATCAATGTTTCTCATCCTCAACAGAGCCCCGATCAAGTAGCCAACTAGCTAAATCCCTCGAGGGTCTAACCAAAGAATACCCTACCCTTTTCGCAGGTGGACTTGGGTTATGCTCTACATTTAAAGCTGAAATTAATCTTAAGGCTGGCGCAAAGCCAAAGTTCTCCAAGCCGTACAACTTACCCTTCGCATTTCACGATGAAGTACTGGCCGAACTGAATCGCTTAGTAAGTACTAACGTTTTACAGCCCATTAAGGCCAGCGAATGGGCAGCGCCCATTGTGGTGATACGGAAGCAGGGTGGAAAAATACGGGTGTGCGCTGATTTTAAGGTAGGCCTTAACTCCCAAATACAAGTGGATCGCTACCCCATCCCCCGGATAGAGGAACTATTGTACAAACTCCAAGGAGGTAAATATTTTACAAAGATAGACCTCAGCGACGCTTATCACCAAATCGAGCTATCTGAGAGCTCTAAAAAATGCATGGTGATCAACACAGCCTTTGGGTTATTCCAGTATCAAAGGATGCCGTTTGGAATTTCTAGCGCCCCTGGAATTTTCCAACGGTTTATGGAGCAACTGATAGCAGGCATCCCTGGTTGCGCAGTATATCTGGATGATGTGATCGTTACGGGAGAAAATGATGAAAATCATGTGGCAAACGTTCGCCGAATTTTTCAACGGCTAGAAGAAAATGGACTTCGATGTCGCCCAGAAAAATGCACCTTCGCTAGTCAGCAAATTGAATACGTCGGTCACATAATTGATGCTAACGGCATTAAACCCTCAACCAAACGCTTAGAGGCGATCCGAATGATGCCTCGGCCTAAAAACGTGCGGCAAGTAGAAGCCTTCATTGGGAAAATCAACTATTATAATAAGTTTATCCCGAATTTCTCCGCAAAGGCGTCCGCATTGAATATCTTGAGAAGGCAAGGGCAAAAGTTTGAATGGGGCGAGGCTCAGGACAATGCTTTTACAGCATTAAAAGATGATATAATAACAGCGACACAGCTCGTGCACCACAACGATAAGCTGCCCATAATTCTTGCAACGGACGCGTCAAAATACGGACTCGGTGCCGTAATATCGCATAGGTATCCAGATGGGTCGGAAAACCCAATTGCTTTCGCATCCAAAACGTTAAATAAGAGCCAAATAAACTACTCGCAAGTAGAAAAGGAAGCACTATCCATAGTATTTGGCGTCACGCGTTTTCACCAGTACTTATACGGTCGTAGGTTTGAACTAACTAGTGATCATCAACCGCTGGTCACCATATTTCATCCCCATAAAAAGCTACCGGTCGCAACGCTGCACAGGCTCCAAAGGTGGGCAATATTTCTCCAAGCTTACGACTACACTATAAGGTATAAAAATACGGCACAACACGCCAACGCAGATGCGCTCTCTCGACTTCCAATGGGCGAAGACTTAGAGTTCGATTATTGGGAAAATAAGATACTTAACGTTTATGAGGTCAATGAAACTGCACTTGACACTTTTCCCATTAGCTCATCGACGGTCTCAAAGGAGACAGAAAAAGATGTCCAACTTCAAGTCGTTAAAAGAATGATTCAAGATGGGTGGCCACATCACTTGCCGGAATCGCACGGTAATATTAAATCATATTGTGATCGTAGACTCTCGCTTTCTTTACAGAAGGGCGTGGTCTTGTTGCAAACAGAGCATAATCGAGTGGTTGTCCCAGCAACGTTGCAGCCAAAAGTCCTAGCTATGCTTCATGAGGGCCACTGGGGTCAAACTAGAATGAAGCAGATTAGCCGACGCTATGTATGGTTTCCTAAGATCGATGAAGCAATTGAGAGGTTGTGTAAGACCTGCGCGATCTGCGCAACCACTGCCGCTAGCCCAAAGCAGCACTATTCATCTTGGCCGCCAGCCGCAAAACCATGGGAAAGAATTCACATAGACTTCGCTGGGCCGTTCTTCGGCAGCATGTGGCTTATTATAGTCGATTCGTTATCCAAATTTCCATACACCATCGAAATGTCTACAACGACTTCAACTGCAACCATTTCCGCACTGCAAAAAGTATTTGCCATCGAAGGACTGCCCGAAACCATAGTAAGTGACAACGGAACGCAATTCACATCGTGGGAATTTCAAAAATTCTGTGAACTCAATGCCATTACTCATCTCACTACGGCGCCTTTTCATCCAGCATCTAACGGGTTGGCGGAGAGGTTCGTAAGAATATTCAAAGAAGCATTTGGAAAGGAAATGAAAGGTACATCAAGTAAAGAAAAGGCCCTATGTAAATATCTAGCTACGTATCGCTCAACCCCAAATCCGATCACAGGGAAATCCCCTGCAGAGATACTACATGGCCGACAGCCTCGTACGCTACTTTCAGCACTTTTTCCAAACCAGCACGTACCTAACCACTCCAAATCGAAGTTTTGTATAGGACAAGAAGTCCAAGCCCGAAACTTTTCAGGGAAAAACAAATGGATTACAGGTAAAATAAACCAAGTATTGGGCCGCATGATGTACAACATAACAACACCAAGGGGCATAATTAGAAGACATCAAAACCAAATACGGAGAGCGGCAGCACCTCCCACCTGCGAGCCGGTAGACGATGAGATAGAGTGGGACGTAGATCCAAATAATGTAACCACCCATAACAACGCACCGCAAACTAGGAACGATCATCCAACGACCCTTGCGCAGGACAGCGATAACAACTCCAACGTACAAACAGGCGTACCCACTGTCCGTCGATCGGAGAGACCGCGCAAGCAAACAGTGCGTTTCCAGATACCTAGCCAATAAATTAGGACAAGGGGAATGTTAGCAATCGGCATAAGGCAACCCTGCATTATCATTGGTGTGTTTCACCTGACATTCTGCTGTTGCTGGTTGGTCGTGCTCTTCTCTTTCTTTTCCGTTCGCAATCTCTCTTATGGCTATACGTTGGTAACCGAGCTCCACGCGTTTTTTTTGATGTAATCTATATCGTATCTACTTTGATTAATAAATAGTTAGTTTAAATCTACAAACTCTGTTTTCATCCGAACATCAGCCGCTATAACATAAACACTCCGACGAATTGATAACCTCCTCCCTTTTTGAAGTCAATTAAAAAGAGAAAAATTAATAAGGCAGCTATATTTTAACGTTTCTAATAAAAATTACATTAAAAAAAATCTCATGCATAACAAAAAGGGCTTGTGCAGCCTGTAAACATTCAAAACTAGAAATACCAAAAGTCCGCGATTCACCACCGAAAGGGGGACCCTCCGGATTTATTAAATAAAAATATCTCTGCAATTCACCACCGAAAGGTGGACCTTCCAGAGAACATTAAAGCAAAATTTTTATAAATTTTGAATCAATTATTATAGCAGGGGGATTGTACAGCCTATAATATTGAAAACCAGAAAAATCCGCTATTCACCACGGAAAGGGGGACCCTCCGGATTTATAAAAAAAATAACTCTGCGATTCACCACCGCTAAGTGGGACCATCCAGAGGTTATTAACTTGATAAAAAAAAATAAATAAATAAAAAATATAACAAATTAATAAAAATTAAAACTGTTATACTTTAATGTATATATTTGATGCTATATTGCTACAATACATTGAAATTTTTTTATGAAAGAATATCATATACATATTTAATATATATATATATATATATATACTAGAATGGTTTAAATTTTTTGTTTTTTTGGAAATTCATACACGCTACCTCAAATTATTGTTATTTGTGATAAAAAAAAATCGAAACGTGTTCTTTTATTTTGAAAAAAAAAAGTTTTTTTAGAGGTCGCGCTGATGTTTTCATTTTTTATTTTCTTAACATGTTAAAATTCAGTTAAAAATGTATTCTCTACATATAATTACTCTGGTATTATTGGGGAATACTCCCTTAATTACATACCAATGCTGGACAGTTAGAATGGGCCTTCTTCTTTTTTGGCGCTGTAAACGCGTAAGCGATTTTGGTAGAGTTCAGCAAAGCACGCCAGTTGTTTCTCTTCTGTGCCAACTGACGCTAATTGGAAACGCCAAGTGAAGCCAAATCCTTCTCCATCTGATCTTTCCATCGCAGTGGAGGCCTCCCTCTTCCTCTGCTACCACCAGCGGGTTCCGAGTTGAATACTTTCAGAGCTGGAGCGTCGGTGTCCATTCGAACGACATGGCCAAGCCAGCGGAGCCGTTGTATTTTAATTCGCTGCATTATGCCCATGTCGTTGTAAAGCTCATCGTTCCATCGTCTGCGGTACTCACCGTCGCCATCGCGTAAAGGCCCGTAAATCTTCCGCAAAATCTTTCTCTCGTACACTCCAAGAGCCGCCTCATCGGATGTTGTAATTGTCCATGCTTCTGCGCCATATACCAGCACGGGCATGATGAGTGACTTATAGAGCGTGATTTTCGTACGTCGAGAGTGATGGGTGAGCAAGGGTGATTCTGCGTTGGATTTCCATGCTGACATTATTATCGGTATTAATGCTGGTTCCCAAGTAATCGAAATTCTCTACTTTCTCGTAATTGTAACTGTCAACAGTGACGTGGGTGCCAAGGCGCGAATGCGCTGACTGTTTGTTTGATGACAGGAGATACTTCTTCTTTTCCTCGTTTAGAATGCGCCTGGTTTTCGAAAATATGATCTCGAAAAGATACTCCTCAAATTAAAACGTTGATACTGAACGATTTACGCAATATTATGGGTTGGAAATTGTTACCAAGGGGTTTCTGGGATTGCTAATTGGAAATCTGAAGTCAGTTTTTCCAAATTCAAAATTGTGGATCCAAAATGGCGGTTAATTAAAAAAAAAAAGATTGGATTTGTTCGAAAACCGGCACTCGGGAGTTTTTGGGATCGTTGATTACGAATCTGAAGTCAATATTTTTAAATTCAAAATGGCGGACTCAATATGGCGATAATATTAAAAAAACAATTACTAAAATTAAAGCGTTGATACTGAACGTTTTAAGCATTATAAAGGGTTGAAACTCGTTTCCAGTGGGTTTCTGTTGTTGTTGATTAGGAATCTGAAGCCAGATTTTCAAAATTCAATACATGTAAAAACCACATTTTTAGCTGCATTTTAACATGTCACGGAAATTAAAAATTTAGAACATCAGCGTTTTTATAAAAAAACCAACCAGCGCGACCTCTAAAAAAACTTTTTCAAAAAAAAAAAAATAATAAATAAAAATATCACAAATAACAATATTTTGATGTAGCGTTTATTAATTTCCAAAAATAGTGTTTTTTTGAACTACTCTAATATATGGGGTGTTCCATACCAAAACGGACGGGGTTCACACTTCATGTGTTTGATTTGTTTCACATTTTTAGGGTTGATGCATAAACATAAATAATAAATAAATATGGAATTTAAGTTTGATTAATACATTTTTAAAAAACAAATCGATTTAATAGTTTTCCAAATATCACGAGAACGAGGCGATGAAAAAATTAAAAAAAGTCACACATGCAAACATCAAAATTCTCTAAGAAAAGAAATATTCTAAAAGGTACACATTTTTTGATAAAAAAATTAATTTTTGAAAATATGCCAACTCAAAAAAAAAAAAAATATGCCATCTTGAAAAAAATGAAAATGGTAGCTCTGAGTATTGCGCACTATTGAAGTATAGTATTACGGGGTGCACTCTACAACAATTTGAGTTATGATTTTTTTTACACCCAAGTTGAGTAAAATTTAATATTTTACAAGTTTACAAATTTTTTAATTTTTATTTTAGAATTTTTTGAGTATGCTGTTTTATGGCCCATTAAATTTTAGTATTATAAAGTGCAAGTTTTAAGCGATTGCAAAAGTGGCTTTAATTTTTTCTTTGAAAACGGTTTTGCGCATTTTCTTCCACAAGAAAAAAGGACAGAAAGCCGTCAGCATAAAACAATATTAAACATCAACGCAAATTTGCATTTAATGGGCTACAAAACTGCACACGCAAAAAAATTATAAAAAAAAATTAAAAAATTTGTAATGTACCAAACTTTGGTGTAAAAAAAAATTCATAACTCAAATTATTGTAGAGTGCACCCCGTTATATTATACTTAAATATTGCCCAATACTCAGAGCTACCATTGTGATTTTTTTCAATTTTTTTTAGATAGCATATTTTCTAAAACTAGTTTTTTTATCAAAAAATTTGTATGTGAAAAATTTTTCAAGAACAAAAAATTTAAAAAATATTTTTTTTCATAGAGAATTTTGATATGTGTATGTGTGATATTTTTAACTTTTTCCTCACCCCGTTCTCGAGATATTTGGAAAACTATTAAATCGATTTGTTTTTGTTTTTGTGCTGTAAAGTTTTTAAAAATATATTAATCAATCTCAAATTTCATATTTATTTATTATTTATGTTTATGCATCAACCCTAAAAATTTGAAAAAAAAACAAACAAAAAAATTGCTCAAAATATAGAGAATTGCTTAGTGGCAATTACTCAGCTGTTGCAGCAGAATGCGGCCCAACAAAGAATAACAGTGAGACAGAGAATAGAATAAGATTTAAAATGCCTAAAGCCTTTTGAGGGTAATGTTACGAAATTACCTTCATTTATTGAAGTAATCGAAAGAGTTTTAGGGGACTATATAGCTCAGGAGGACGTAGTTTTTCGAGTGATATATGATCTAAAAATTATCGGTTTAGTAAAAAATTGTTTGGCGCTAAGCCCACCATAAAACTGGGAGTTATGTAAGACCAAACTAAAACAACATTTCAGGCCTTCAAAAGACCAAATGATCCTCACAAGTTAAATAAATAATCTCAGATTATCAAGTATTAGCGAACTCTGCAGAAAAGAAAAACAAATTAAAGATGGCATTACAGAGTTTAGTTCATTAAAAGATAATGGGAACGCTATGAAGGAAATTTTTTCAGGAATGCTTATTCAAAGAGTTAAGCAATTAGCTTCGGGAACGTTCGCATTTTCTATAAGAAACACCACAAATTTGACGGAAATGAGTACAAACATGTACAATTTTATTGGATTGATTGGAGATGACGGAAATCTAAATCCAATGTGTTTAGAAAATAAAATTCGATGACAAATTTCAGACAGTCATACAGTGCCGCCTAAGTGGGCAAAAATCGAAAAACTCGTTATCTGCAATGTGAACTTGTTTCGTATTTTTGTAAAGACAATTTATCCACTAAAAAGAATTAAGCAGACATTTCCCTAAAAAATGTATTATATATATATAGAATTAAGCAGACATTTCCCTAAAAAATTTATTATATGCCGCCAGAAGCCACAGAAGTCGACAAATTTTATACTAAGAATTTTAATAAGAGCATAGCCATGCGCAAGCTCTTCACAGAAAAAAATGTCAAAAATATATTCTTTGAAATAAAATGTTGGTTTGATGTTTCCTGTTTCCATATAGATAGTAGAGAATTAAACACAGGGTGTCCCTGCGGTACTCCAGAAAAACAATTTTTTTTTAAACGAAATTCCAAAAAATGTTAATTTATTTATTTTATTAACTAGTACGGGCTTTTAGCTTTCGAAACAAGAATTAAAAACCTGCCAATTATTTGCACTTTCTGAAGTAATGCGTTTTTCGCTAATGCATAAAATAATTTTGTTAAAAAATTAGATAGTTAAAAAATTACATTCAAATCTTTTTATAAGTTAAATGAATTATTAAGAGATGGGTATCAATCGAAATGTGTACTAACTACATGTAGAGAGTTGCCACCTGTTTAAAAAATCAAATTCCACTTGAATTACAGGAATTAGGTAATTGAAATAGATAGTAGGTCTCACCATAAGGGAG